TATATATATATACATAAATATAGTATAATTTTCCATCAAAAAAGATTTGGATCCCACCCCCTACCCTTGCTAGCTCCACCCAACCTACCCCTACTTCCAAACCCAAACAAAAAAGAAACAAAATAAAATAAAATAAGTTGGTAAGGTTATAGTAGTAATAATGTGGTAATAAAGATGGCAATTTGTGGAGAGGGTTGGAAGAAAAAAAAAACTAAGAAATTCTATGTGGAACCATGGTTAGTTTGTAACTAACTAAGGTAAAACCTCCTTAGTAGTAGAGAGTAGAAACAATCTTTTCTCCTCTTACACGTAAAATGAACACGTGGTACTTTGTGCAACAACACTTATACTATTTATTATATATATATATATCATTGTCAAATACTCATAAATCCTCATTTGGCATTATCACTATCCATTTTCCTCTCTCCAGAAAAAATACTACTACTCCTCTGATCTCTCTCTCTCTCTCTCTCACTATTTCTTCTGTTGAAAGTTCAAACAAAACTCGTCGGTTCGGTGTTTTTTGGTTTTAGCTGTTGATTTTATGTATCTGATAACTTTGACCGCTTCGGAATTCATCGGTTTGTGACGTCAGCATTAGTTTTCCGGTCACCGGAATCGAAAGTTTTATATGTATGGACCTTCCTCTCCTTTGATCTGCTTTTCCTTTTTTTTCTGTTGAATTAATGTTTTTAACTGATTATTTACTGGAAAAATGGTTGCAGAGAATTAAAGGGAAATTGAAATTGAGTTCAGCTTTTTTTAAAAAAAAAAATTATATTTTTTATTTTTTTGATGAGTTTTACGATAAACCAAAAGATTGATTTCTAGTTGGGTGTAGATTGAAGAGCGTTCACTAGAAGTGATAATTTTATTGAGCTGATTTATATTGATTCTCTTGAGAAATTGTTGAGTCCTTTTGAAGATTTCTAATTTGACCTAATTTGAATTTAAGGTGAGATTTTATTTTTTTAGCTTATTGTTTTCATCGTTTATTCATTTATTACATGGTTTTACCTGTATCTTGACTTGATAAAATCAATTAAATTGGTCCTTGTTCTGTCGAGCAAAAAAATAAATTATTTGTGTTTTTTATTGATTGTGTGTTTTAATGACAGTGCTTTAGCTTCTCTTTTTTTTAAAAAAAAGAAAATTTCATTCCAATTTGCCAGTGGTTTAGGTTTTCCCATTTCTGATTCCTTGCTTCTCTTTCTGAACTCAAAGAGGAGCTAAAATGTTTTCCCTGGATATGAAACTCTCAGCATTAAATGGTTATTTTACAGAACCTTGAGATATGTCCTTTTTAATTAGGTTAGATTTGTGAAAAAAAGAATTTACATGCCTTCTCCCTCTATTTTTGCCCACATCATTACATTGAATTGTACCACTAAGGGGTCGTTTGGTCGGAAATAGGTTATCATGAGATTAACTATCCGGGACCAAACGCATATCCTGGTATTATTATACCTTATACCTCACACCAAACGGCTCCTAAGAGTATGCTAATGGAAAAATGTGTAATGAGTCGTGGAAGTAAATAAATGTCAATATGATTTAAATGAAAACTATTGAAGTAGGGATCGGTTGGTGAGGGTGTATAAGAATAGTGATGTATAGGGTGGAATGTGGATTAGTAATGCGGACGTTATTTTTTATCCACGGTATAGTTTGGTGTATAAAAAATAACATCATTTCTAAAAAGCATTATTTGTTTAAAAAATACCCTCCGCATTCTTTAGCTTTGTACACTTCCAGGGCATGTGTCTTTAACCATGCCTGTGCGTGTATTAAAAATCCTTGTATTGCTAATACGATGGTTTGCTATGTATTAGTTATAACTTATACACATTACACAGGATACTACCAAAAAGGGTGTATAACTGATGCTTGCATCAGCTATACATTGGTTGAAAAATTGTACCGAACAAGGGATTAGTAATACCAAAACTGATACATGCACTATTTTCTCTAATACCTTCCATCAAATGACCCCTTAAAGTTCATGCCATGCATAAAGTGCTACCATGCTGGTGTAGTGTAGGAGGAAAGTGGCATATGTTGTAGATAGCTTCCCATTGCATTTATGCAAAGAGGATAATTCCACAATTAGAATCCATGGCCTACAAGCACTAAAGGAGCATATCTGACATAACATAGACACATTTATTTGTACCTTCATGAAAATAATTATGTAGAAGTATGTCACCCATATGTTAGTAAAGGCATTGGAAAAATTAGGATAAGAGATTTCTTTCTCAAAAAAAAAAATTAGTATAAGAGAAAAAGGGAACAGGGAAGTACCTAGAGAGTAAGCAATGGAGAATTTTATGTTATTATACTTTAATAGTTCGAATCATGCACGCCCATGCACGTAAACCTGCATACCCTAATAGTTGAAGAAAGTGGTATTGTCTAATAAAAGTTCCACATGTTACGATGGAGAAATTTATGCTCAATAATGCATGTAAAGAAATTCATTTAATGAGTTGATGAAAAGGATTTCCCCAATTTGGAAACCTTCAAAAGTTTTGAGGTAGACCGTAGACGTATAAATGCAAAACAACAATCATGTCAAAGCAGATTGATCTGTTGGTAGCTATTAACGTTTTTAGTAGTTTGTATGCTTCACCCAAACAAACCTAATTTAAGTAGTTGGTATGCTTTGACCAGACAAACCTAATTTAAGTAGTTTGTATGCTTCGACCAGACAAGCCTAATTTTTAGTAGTGTGTGTGTCGACCCGACAAACCTAATCTTTAGTAGTCTGTGCGCATTGATCCGACAAAGCTGAATATTTTATCAAACTATGCTAGAATTCAACACCTTAAAAGTAAAATTAATACTATTCATAATGTGACAAATGTCAAATTGGATAGTCCAGGAAAAGTGATCAGGCATTTAATTCCATTTTAGCTAATATCCGGTAGAATCTAATATACATATTTTAAGTAATATCCAGTTGAGGTTTAAAACACCCATGGTGATCACACATAAAAGAATCTTGTTTTATGGAATTAGACACTACTATCTGTGTTTTTTCGTTGAGAGATTTTCTTTGGTTGCAATTAATGCTGCAAAAAGTGCAGTTGATGCATGAGAAAAGGCGAGGTGAGCCTAGCATTAACCAGCGTGCTATTTAAACTTCTAGAATGGAAAGATCTGGGTGTGGGGATGTTGAAAATATATTCTTTGTTTGGTGTATCAGGGCTTATAAGGTCCATTCATGGTTGCAGTCCTGGCTACTCTTTGCTCTAGGCCATGGCATTTTTGTATACTTATGGTGTCCATTCTAGGTTTTAAATTGCAGCGCTATTGTTCAGGTTCATTAGGTAGTTGTTGCCTGTCGTACAGACTAGCAATTGGTTCCAACCCTAATTATATGGTTCACTTTGCCAATGCTCCCTTCCCTTGGAGAAATTTTCTGGTTAGGTCACTCTCCTCCTCTAGCCTAGTTTTAGTAAAGCCAAAAGTCTGCTTTGAACTACCTTTGCCAAGAAAGAAAGACGGACTTGCACCACCATCTCCGTGCAAAATCACTGCCAACTTGTTCTCAAGTTCAGCGTGTTGTACCTACTGGCTGTTTTATCGTTATTTAGATATTAGCAAAGGCAGTATAACTTTAATACGTATATACTAAACTTGATATAAGTGCTACACCATATTTGGCAGTCAATGTGACACGGTTCGATCTGATAAGAGAGAACCATCTTAGGATGGTACTTTTTTTTTTTTTTTTTTTCTGATGTCAAGTCATTGTTCACTAGTTTGTGAGATTCAATGGACTGCTTTGAAGGTTAATTGAAGATTGAGTTTCATTTTGTATAGTATTTGCTTCCACGCCAGTATGGGTAAATGCGCTAATTAGACAAAACCATGTCAACACTTAGGGAACTGACATAAAAGTATGCAGAAAATCACCTGTGGTATATTATTGCCTATTGGTCTAGACTCTAGTAGTCTTCTTCGAAGTGAAACCTTTGTAGTTTGACCAAATTGGGTTGGAGAAAACTCATGAGAACAATTTGGGAGCTGAGAGAGGAAGTCCATAAATAATCAAAACCAGTCTGATGTTAACCGATTGTCTTCTGTGAAGTGAAATCTTTATGATTTGACTATATAACTATCTTATTAATCCAAAGTATGGACTCTTATGCTATTTTGGGGAAATCCCAAGTATCATTTGGGAGCTCAGAGAGTAAAAAGGCGTAGATAATATTAGTGGTGTATTATGCAATTAGTAGTCTCTTCCGAAATGAAGTCCTTGTGGGTTGGTCATATGCTATCTATTTGATTCAAACAGTTCCAATAGTCATTGATAATTTTCGGATATAGTATTGGAATAGAAAGGTCCATTATGTAATAACTAATAACAGTTGGTGTTAGTCCATCTTTTATTTACTTTCTTGTTTTGGTAGGTGTTGTTTTTATTGTTCGTCACCAATGTGAAATCCTTCTCGTTATAATCTTCATCAACTGGATTTTGGGAGATTTATTGTATTTTGGAAAGTAGAAGGGAGAAATGCTGTTGGTTTGAAAAATATTTTTTTTATAATGGTGGTATCCGGAACAGTTCACACACCTCGACTGTTTCACCATATACCTGCTACCTCACACCAACATATATATCGGGTAACTCTATCCACCAACGTTTGGGCAGTTGAAAAAATTTGCTATATTGCCTCGGACAGCATTTGAGCCCTAGCCCTGCTATAATATTCATCCCATTTCATTGACTGCTGCATGACTCCCTTGGGTTTAAGTTTAGGTTTCTACTTTAAATTATATACTAAGGAGATAGAAGAAAAGTTGTCGGTGAGACTTAGTAGCTCAGTTGGTTTGCTACTAAACTCCCACCTTGTAATCCCCTCTCCATTTCCCCTTCCTCTACCCCAATTTTATTTAATTAAAAAAAAAAAAAAGGAAGAGGAAAAGTTTTCCTTATTGTTTTGAAGCAGCTTTGGAATGTTTATCATTTCTTTTAATCTGAAAAGTTAAAGGCAATAAATAATGCACCTGAACTTGCCTGTCATCTGGTTTTCAAGTGGCTTCCTTACTGTTTATCATTCCTGAACCCCTTCGCAACCTTCCGTCCAGTGTATCCAACACATGAAATAATAGAATTGAAATTGATTATTCCTTCCAGAACTCAAATCTTTTCAGCTCAAGAGCTACCATCATTGCTACTTGGTGGCCATGATTTGTAAAAAGCCATGTGCTTGTCGTAAACTCCCAATGCCATCACATCCGAAAATTTTTGTTCAACCTGTATGTACCTATGCTTAACCCATCACTGTTACCTGTTAAAATGGGATTGTATTTGTACCTTCTGTATGTTGTATTTGTCAACTTGGAATATTCAATATAAAGGCATTAAAACTGTTTGAGTACTGAAGATTATATTTCATTTCATCTCAAATTGTCCAATTGGGATGAATCCTTGGAATAGGGTAATTAGGAATCAGGTTTCTCCTCTTTGACAATGTTTTCACAAACCTATAAAAATTATTTCGAGATTATTTCTTGCGCAACAATTCTATTAGCCTTCTGTTTTTAGCATGTTTGACATCATTCGCTGGAATTATGTGGACTTAAAAATCTCTTTTTTTGGTGGTTTTGTAGATCTGCAGGAAAATTTGATTCAGCAATTACTGGGGCACACTTTTCTTTGGTTTCACATACCTCAGCAGAAATTGTATGATAACGTAAGCTAAGTTCTACTTCAGAGTCATGGCATCAAGATCTAGTGCAAACTTTTTCGACTTGGCATCTGGGGACATACTGGATATACCTCAGACTCCTAGAGCACTTCCCCGTATGATGACTGTTCCCGGGATAATTTCTGATGGTTGTCGCAGCAATGATGGGGATTCAGATAGTATGTCATCTGCTTGTCACGAGCGAAAGATTATTGTTGCAAACATGCTGCCTTTGCATGCTCAAAGGGATACAACAGCTGAAAAGTGGTGCTTTAGTTTGGACGAGGATTCTCTTTTGTTACAACTGAAGGATGGGTTTTCACCTGAAACTGAGGTTACCTATGTGGGTTCTCTCAAGGTAGATGTGGAGCCCAGTGAACAGGAGGAAGTTACACAGCGACTACTTGAGGAGTTCAAGTGTGTGCCTACCTTTGTACCTTGTGAAATCCAGGAAATGTTTTATCATGGTTTCTGTAAGCAACAACTGTGGCCTCTTTTTCACTACATGCTCCCAATGTGCCCAGACCATGCAGATCGTTTTGACCGTCAGCTGTGGCAAGCTTATGTCTCAGTAAACAAGATCTTTGCTGATAAGGTTATGGAAGTGGTTAATCCCGAGGATGATTATATCTGGGTTCAAGATTACCACCTCATGGTTCTTCCAACATTCTTAAGAAAGCGGTACCATCGAGTGAAGCTTGGATTCTTTCTTCATAGCCCATTCCCATCATCAGAAATTTACCGAACTCTCCCAGTTAGGGATGAAATTCTAAAAGGATTATTAAACTGCGACCTGATTGGCTTTCATACTTTTGATTATGCACGTCATTTTCTGTCATGCTGTAGTAGAATGCTAGGTCTAGATTATGAATCTAAGCGAGGTCACATCGGACTTGATTATTTTGGTCGTACAGTTTACATTAAAATTCTTCCAGTAGGCATACATATGGGTCGACTTGAGTCTGTGTTGAATCTTTCTTCTACATTTGCTAAAGCTAAAGAAGTTCAAGAGCAGTTCAAAGGGAAGAAAGTCATTCTTGGTGTGGATGATATGGATATTTTTAAAGGTATTAGTTTGAAATTACTAGCTTTTGAACACCTACTACAGCAGCAAGAGGATTTGCAGGGTAAACTTGTTCTTGTCCAAATAGTAAATCCTGCTCGTAGCTCTGGAAAGGATGTTCAGGAAGCAAAGAGGGAGACATATTCGACTGCTGAGAGGATCAACCAAATTTATGGAACTTCTAATTATGAGCCTGTAATTTTGATAGATCGTCCTGTTGCTCGATATGAGAAGACCGCATACTATGCTGTTGCTGAATGTTGCATAGTCAATGCAGTGAGGGATGGGATGAACTTAGTGCCTTACAAGTATATTGTCTGTAGGCAAGGCTCTCCTGGTATGGACGAAGCTATGGGTATCAAAGCTGATTCTCCTAGAACTAGTATGCTTGTTGTGTCTGAATTTATTGGTTGCTCACCATCGTTGAGTGGGGCAATTAGGGTAAATCCATGGGATATTGAAGCTGTGGCTGAGGCTTTAAATGTGGCCATTACAATGTCGAATTCTGAGAAAGAACTTCGTCATGAGAAGCACTACCGGTATGTGAGCTCTCACGATGTAGCTTATTGGGCTCGTAGTTTCATGCAGGATTTGGAGAGAGCATGCCAAGATCATTATAGTAAGCGTTGCTGGGGCATTGGCCTGGGCCTAGGTTTTAGAGTTATTGCACTTTCACCAAGCTTTAGAAAGTTGTCCTTAGATCACATTGTTTCCTCATACAGGAGGACTCAGAGAAGGGCTATATTTTTGGACTATGACGGTACTGTTGTACCTCAGTCATCTATGGTTAAAGCTCCAAGTGCCGAAGTTATTTCTCTGTTGAATGCTCTAAGTAATGAACCTAAAAATACTGTGTATATTGTTAGTGGCAGAGGAAGGACTTCATTATGCGAGTGGCTTGCACCATGCGAAAGGCTTGGAATAGCTGCTGAACATGGGTACTTCATAAGGTAAAGACTTATTCATCTTGTATTCTTAGGGTTACTTTATACTTGTCATTTGCAGTTGGACTGTAGTTTCTCATTTGGAACTTGTGTTCAGGTTTTGTTTTATTTTTATTTTTTTACACATTCATCTACAACATGGTCTCTATTTTTTTTCTCATTGCAGGGATTGTAAAACTTCTGAATGGGATCATTTGGATTCTGATCTTGAATGGAAAGAAATTGCGGAACCTGTGATGCAACTTTACACAGAAGCAACTGATGGATCATTTATAGAATCTAAAGAGAGTGCATTGGTGTGGCACCATTATGATGCAGACCCTGACTTCGGCTCCTGTCAGGCAAAGGAATTGTTGGATCATTTGGAAAGTGTACTTGCAAATGAGCCTGCAGTTGTTAAGAGGGGTCAACATATTGTTGAAGTCAAGCCGCAAGTAAGCCTTCCTCCTCTGTATGTGTGTTTAACTATGCAGCACAATCATGTTGCATAATGCTGTTCAAAAGTTTTGAATTCTTTACGTGACTTGCAGGGTGTTACCAAGGGATTAGTTGCAGCGAAAGTTCTCTCTATGATGGTTGAAAGTGGGAAACCACCTGATTTTGTGATGTGCATTGGAGATGACAGGTCGGATGAAGACATGTTTGAGAGCATATTAAGCACTATCTCCAGTCCGTCGGTCACTGCTGCCCCTGACATCTTTGCCTGCACTGTCGGGCAGAAGCCAAGCAAAGCCAAGTATTACCTCGATGATACCACTGATGTTCTTAAACTTCTTGGAGGTCTTGCTAATGCTTCTAATCCAAAGCCAATAGATACTGCTCAATTCCAGCTTGCCTTTGGTTCTGTTATTTGAGTTGGCAAACAAGTCCGTCAGACAACTTTGATATAGAAATTACAAAGTATCATTAGGGCTAGAGTTCTTTTTAAATATAGTTTCACAGTAGTGATTGTGCCTGCCCTGAATTATTAACAGGCACTGATAACTTAACTTGTACATATACATGACTCTTTAATATGAGAACTTGGTTTATTTTCTCTTGGGTTATATCTAAATGGAAGCTCCTGGCGAAGATGTATAAAAATGCATCAGGTGAGTTCTTCATATCATTGTGAAATGTGCTCGTTTGTACCAAAATGAGGTGTTTTTTGTTTCACAAGCACCTTATTAAGTGGCTATGGTGCGGGAAATCTTAGTAGTTCAGTTGGGTGACGGAAAGAGTTTGATTCCTCACATGATAATCTCCTCTTCATTTCTCCTTCCCTTATCCCTAAATTTTTATTTTTATTTTTTCTTTAAAAAAAGTGGCTATGGTGCATGTAGGGGGTTTGAAAGACATTCCAAACGTCCCAACTCCGAAGTTATCCCCAGCCCTTAGTTGATTTTCAAATTTTATTTTCATTTTTTCACTTCATTGCCTGTTATTATTTTTATTATTTCTGTTATCTTCTATTCTTGTTAAATTACTCATTTTATTAATTGTTAATGTGAACTTGCCAAACTAATCACCCATTAGACGATTTTAATTTTTAATTTTTTTTTTATAGAAAGTGTATGGCACATTTTTTTTTTAACTTCGAGTCACGTTATCTTGTATTTTACGTGTACTTGTTAACGTTTGTTCTTCTCTTTGAATATGTAACAAATTTATTTTTCACTATTATTAATTTTATATGTGAGAATGTCACATATTTAGAAGTTAGCAAACACAAGATATGGCATTAGAAGATGGACTGGGTAGAATGGACATGACAAATCAAAAGAACTTATTCGAGCGATAGATTCATGCTTAGTAAACAACACCTAATCTCATAATATCCGCTTGATTAAGTTTGGCTTCGATCTCCTTTTTGGTCATATTCGTCTTAGGATACTCGACTATTGCGTCGGAAAAGAACTGTGGCCATGTATATCACGTTGATTGTATTAAAGAGTGGATCAAGCACGACAACTCTTGCCCCATTTGCAAGACAAATATGATATATAGCTACGAAATTATTAGCTACAATATGAAATTCGTTATTAATTGTTCGCTTATAGAGTGACAAAAATTACTTTTCGTGCATAAATATATGAGACACATATTTTTAGAATTTCTAGCAAAATTTCCCACCAAAAAATAAATTGGCGCCATTTATTGAGTATTGTTAGTGACAAATTTAAAGTTACCAACGACACATTATTTCTTCACTAATGATGTATCTAATTCGTGACAAATTATTTTTTGTCTTAAAATTAATTAATGTTTGGACACTAAAAGCAGAGGCGTATTTAGGATTTCGGAAGGATGGGTGCACTATTACAAAAAGATGCATCTAAGATATAAATTTGATCGGTTTGACCTTTACGTTCTTAACATTGAACCGTTAAATTTTAAAAATTATAGATCCAACATATAAAATACTACTAGTTTTAAATTTTAATATACACATTTGATTTAATTATATAGAAATTTTACCGTGCTAATTCTGTTTAGTAATTTCAAATGCTACACACTTGAAAATTTTGAAAGATTAAAGCAAGAAACAAAAGAAAAATTGATTGAAACGCCAAAAGTGTTACCGTAACCACTTGGAGGGGTGTTACTAACAAAAATAAGATAGATATAAGATTTTAAATTTCTATCTTTGCTTAGAGAGTTGCACCCAATCATCGTCATATTATTATATATTATTTTTAACGTGGATTCACACCTCTATATTTAAATATTTTTAAAAATATATAACACTATTATATATAATCTAGAGAGGGGAGCATGGGTTCACGTGAACCCACGGAACCCCCCCTCTAGATACGCCTCTGACTAAGAATTCGTCTAAAAAATTATGTTGTTACATAGCGACAAATTAGATCTTGTAGTTAAATATTTTAAGTTTTAGCTATAAAAAATTAGATTTAATTGTGACATTTATTTTCGTCACGAATGATATAAGTAATTGATGACAATCATTTTATTGTCTCTAATCAACCTGCGATTTAATGACACCAAAAAATTGTCACAAAATATGTAAGGTGTTAAATAGTGACGACTTAAAATTTGTAGTTGAATAGTTTAACTATTTACTAGGAAAAAACTTATAGCTAAATACAAAATTTTCTTTGATTACGATTGTTCATAATTACAAAAAATATCATAAATAATCCTTAAACTATTGAAATAGATCTAAAATAATCTCTTAACTATACCTTTCAAATTTTGAATTGAGATAAAGTAACTTTATTTATTTGTCTATTTGAATATAAATTAAGACGTAAAATATATTTAAAAAATCAAACACTACATTTCGATATTTTAACACGGCAGTTGCCAATATTAGAGCAAAAGTTGAGAGAGACAAAACAATCATAATTAATCCCACTTTCTCCACATATATATTTGTTAGTAACTTAATAATAATTACAAACAACTGTCTTATTCTGATCGCCAATTAATTCTCTTTTTGTTTTGTCTTTTATTATTGAACAGGGGAAAAAGAACAGAAAAATACTTTTGGGTTTGTCTTCCATGCAATTTGCTCTGTTGATTTCTGCTGTCCTCTTGATGTGATGTGTTAATCTTCCAAACTAAAAAATATGGTGTTCAAAATGTGACTTTTTGATATAATAAATTATCATGGTTATTGATATATGCTTCTTCTTTTCGTTTTTTTTTTTCTCCAGCCTTATTCATTTACTATTTTTTGGATATTTCAGGTGGTGGAACATGAGTGATTCTAAAGATGGAAAAAGGGTGCTGATACGGTGGCGAGTATGAATCTGCTATGAAAGATTTACGTGGTCATGATGATCTACGACTGAGTTGGGTATTTAGAGTGCATATGTGGGAAAAATATGCCTACTTAAGTAGGATGAACTCATCAATGTTACTAAAAAGCAATGAAGGTTGTCACTAATTTATAAAAAAAATTGTCCCTAATTTATAAAATTTAAGGACAAAATAATTTTTTGTATATAAAAAATAGTTATTAGTGACGATATTACATTTGTACAACTTCAAAATACATATAACTTTAGAGACAATTTATGTTATCACTGATTGAACTAAATAATTAGCGACGATATAATTTTATCGGTAGTAATAACTTTTTCAGTGACCAAACATACTATTTACTACAAAAAGAAATTACATTTTTTATGACAAATAAACTCGTCACAAATGTTTATGCATTTGGGGACGATTATTCTTTATGTAGTTAATATAATACTTTTAGCCACGAAATACTAAATTGTCTTTCCATACATTTAGTGACGCACGTTTAGCAACGAATTTTTTTTGTCAAACAAGATTTTTAGTGATGAAATATGATTTATAGATGACGAAATTATTTGTCCCTGGTAATCAAATTTGTTGTAGTGAAAGTATTTGTTTTATTGAATTCAAATTCTTAAAACTCTTTGATGAATATGAAATTTTTTATATTAACTTTTGATTATTCAATTAATTATTTCATTTCAAAACAAGACTTACTCAAATTTTCTTGATCCTATATTTTTATAAAGACTGCTTTTTTAAACTTGTCTATCTTATTCTTATGTAACAGGGCGACTAATTTTCTATGTTGCTTAATTATCTTATGTAACAGGACACAATTTTATTGAAAATCACAATAAATGCAATGATATCTCAATTGACATTTAAGTTAATGTATCTTAATAGAATGTAAATATATAGGTATTCTATGATCTTTAAATCTTGTAAAACTTGCTCCTTACCAAGCTTACATCAAACAGTTAATATGTACAATAAGGTTGTTTTTTTCAATATTGTATGTTTACATTTTACCACGTAAAATTTGAAAAATGACATCTAAATTTAAATACATGCATGAATTATTTGCTTCTCAATTTAGAATCGAATTTTTACTAATAAAATTAAAATATACTTTATATAATTGGGTCGTGCTGACAGTACGGTCATACACCTCTAGTAGTTATTACTACACATCTATAATAAATCACGTGCATATGTTTACCCATAATTACATAATTACAATCACAGATATGTATGTGTTCATAAAAAGCACACAACTCAAAGTATTAAAATAATAAATTCTACAATTATATCACATTCTAAATAAAGTAAAATCATATAAATATGTATTTAAATTTTGAAAAAAAGGATAAATATACTCTTAAACTATCGTAAGCAGTGGCAGAGCTAGGATTTTTAATAAGGGGTTCAAAATCTGAAGAACTAGACACACGAACTAATCGAAGGGGATTCGACATTACTATATATACATAAAAAATAATTTTAACCATATATAAATAGTAATATTTTCCGCCGAAGGGGTTCAAATGAATCCCCTAACAGAGGGATGGCTCCACCCCTAATCGTAAGTAATATTTAAATATTTTCCGTTAGAACACTAATGTCTTTATCATCTGACTTTTGAGGTGTATATACTCTTTGAACTAACAGAAAGACACGTGTATCGATCTTATTCAAAAAATATTTATTTTTTATCCATAATTTAAAGACACACACTTAACTTATAACCCAAACAACATGGTGCACTGATTCAGAGCCATGACTCGGCACGTCGTCGTTTTGGAATTACCGAGAATTTCTAAGGTTTAATGGCAACTGCTGAATCCAAATCATGAAAAAGACTTGAAGCAAATTTGATTTGTACTCCTTATGTTCTTTTTTAGTTGTCATAATTTTCTTTTTGAGAGTCAAACCATATAAATTTTGACTGACATTTTAAAATGTGTTTTTTCATCATATTGATATGAAAAAAGTTTCAATTTATAGTACTTTTCGTATAGTTTTTGAATATCCAAAATTTTATTTTAAAAATATCGAATCAATATAATCTAACTTAGCTTTGAAAAGTAATCATAGTGACTCTCAAAAAACACAACATAACACCCAAAAAGGAAAGGAGGAGGTATATGTTACCAGAAAAAAGTTTAGTGATGAACAAGAAAGGTCAAGGTAGAGAAAGAACAAATTGAATCAAATGTTTCTTCTCTGGATTCTTCACTTCTTCCAGAAATGTTTTTTATTACAATCATCTCTTTTTGACTAATTTGTGTGTATCTT